TAACCTGTAAAACAAAAACGTGTAAGACAAAAGGGGAAATTTGAATATCTGATAATAGTGAAGACTTACTAATTTGCATAGGTGCGATTATGAGACAGTGGTTTAAAAAAAAAAAAGATGGGAATGCAAGCTGGTGCAGCCACTGTGGAACACAGTGTGAAGGTTCCTCAAAAAACTAAAAATAGAACTACCCTAAGACCCAGCAATTGCACTACTGGCTATATAACCAAGGGATACAGGTGTGCTGTTTCGAAGGGACACATGCACCCCAATATTCACAGCAGCACTATTAACAATAGCCAAAGTATGGAAAAAGCCCAAATTTCCATCGATGGATGAATGGATAAAGATGTGGTATATATATATATATATATATATATATGTGTGTGTGTGTGTGTATATATATATATATGTGTGTGTGTGTATATATATATATATACAATGGAGTATTACTCGGCAATCAAAAAGAATGAAATCTTGCCATTTGCAACTACGTGGATGGAACTGGAGGTATTATGCTAAGTGAAATTAGTCAGTCAGAGAAAGACAAATATTTTATGACTTCACTCACATGAAGACTTTAAGAGACAAAAGAGATGAACATAAGGGAAGGGAAACAAAAATAATATAAAAACAGAGAGGGGGACAAACATAAGAAACTCATAAATATGGAGAACAAACTGAGGGTTCCTGGAGGGGTTATGGGAGGGGGGATGGGCTAAATGGGTAAGGGGCATTAAGGAATCTACTCTTGAAATCATTGTTGCACTATATGCTAACTATGATGTAAATTTTAAAAAAATAAAATTAGGGGCGCCTGGGTGGCTCAGTCGGTTAAGCGACTGACTTTGGCTCAGGTCATGATCTCATGGTCTGTGAGTTCAAGCCCCGCGTCGGGCTCTGTGCCTGACAGCTCAGAGCCTGGAGGCTGCTTCGGATTCTGTGTCTCCCTTTCTCTCTGACCCTCCCCTGTTCATGCTCTGCCTCTCTCTGTCTCAAAAATAAATAAACATTAAAAAAAATTTTTTTTAATAAAAAATAAAATTAAAAAAAAGAATTCTAATCTTGAAAGGATGCTTATAGAAATATTAATGCAAGGAATAATACAGTGTCTCGTGTTGGCTTCAAGAAAATCTGAGGTAGAGGAGGGCTAGGAAGAAGAGTTGAAGCAGGTAGGGTTGTGAGCAGAGTTTTAGGGAAGATGGTGGTGTAACTGCAGGTTCATCATACTCTTCTATTTTTGTAAAAATTGACATTTTTTGCTGAGAGAGAGACCTAGAGAGAGAAAGAGATCTCCCTCTCTCATTTGCCTTTCTTTTCTTCTGTCCCAAGAGACGGCTTTTTAAACACTTCCCTCTCCTTCGCATCTCCCTTGCTCTTAAATTTTTTTTTTTAACATTTATTTGTTATTGAGAAACAGAGAGACAGAGCCCGAGCAGAGGCGGGGCAGAGAGAAGAGTAGACACAGAATCTGAAGTAGGCTCCGAGCTGTTAGCACAGAGCCAGACGTGGGCTCGAACTCACAAACCGCAAGATCATGACCTGAGCCGAAGTCTCAGCTCAACTGACTGAGCCACCCAGGTGCTCCAAGTCTTCCTTGCTCTTATTATCAGAGGCATGCCTCTGATAAAACCAAGCCATGCTTAGCACCTCAAGGGTAACCTCTGAGGCTGGAAGGTGAGAAGAGGACATCCCATTCCACAGAAATAAACTGTTAGTGGTGATCTTTCCAGCATCCGTGACAGGCCAGAAGGCGGCTATTTCTGAGTGCACTGAGGGTGGGCCGGAAGCCCTCCAAGTGCCTCTCAGATCACCCCCAGCCCTGGCAGAGGGCTTTTTTCCTCTCTCTGAGCTCTGTTATTCTGAGTGGCAGGCTTTGAACTCAGCATTGTTCAGAGATAGGGAGGTGCTGTGAAATTAGCGTGAGCAGCTGGTTGAATTTGTAAAACTCTGTTTCCTCTGATGTAATATGAAGAAAAAGCTGTTTACCTGTCCAGTTTGCTGTGGGCAGTCCCTGAACTAACTGCTAGTGTGCAGGGCCTGGCCTGGCACCAGCCACACCTGCTAACAGGTCCTCAGTAAATGCTACTCCCTCCTGCACAGGGCGTGTCGTTGGTCTGTTAAAACCAGGAGAAATGAGCAGGACGTGGCTCAGGAACTGCTTAGCTGCGAAAAACCTCCACCTGTCCAGCCAGTCCCACATGAGGCCTCCGCAGGCTGCTGCCTTGGGTGCCACAGGCACCTTGGGTTGTGTGTTGGGTGTGTTCGTTCTGTTCGCGCTGCTTGTTTGCACACAAACCTGCATGTGTATAGACCAGACCACCCTGTCCAATCCCCGTTTACTCTCGGCCACCCACATTACCCCATGTCCTTCATTGCACTTTATTGGTAATGATGCTATTGCCTTGATTAGTGGCCATTTCCCTCCGCAAATCATCTCTATGACGGCAGAAACTGCCTTGTTTCCCACTCTGCCTACCAAACCTGGTGGAGGCCAAGACGGAATGAATGAATGACCACGCACGCGTGTGTCTCCCAAAGGAGAGGGCAGGCAGGCAAAAAAATAAATAAAATAAATTAGTACCTTTATTTGGGGTTTTGATTACAAAAGTAATACACGCTTATTATTTTTTAAAATGTACAAGTGTCGGGGCGCCTGGGTGGCTCAGTCGGTTGAGAGTCTGACTTTGGCCCAGGTCATGATCTTGTGGTTTGTGAGTTCGAGCCCCACGTCAGGCTCTGTGCTTGGAGCCTGGAGCCTGCTTCTGATTCTGTGTCTCCCTATCTCTCTGCTCCTTCCCTGTTCATGCTCTCTCTCTCAAAAATAAACATTAAAAAAAAAAATTTTTTTTTTAAATGTACAAGTGTCTGGGGGTGCCTGGGTGGCTCAGTCAGTTAAGCATCTGACTTCAGCTCAGGTCATGATCTCACGGTTCATGAGTTCAAGCCCCGCGTCGGGCTCTGGGTTGACAGCTCAGAGCCTGGAGCCTGCTCTGGATTCTGTCTCCCTCTCTCTCTGCCCCTCCTCCGCCTACTCTTGTCTCTCTCTCTCTCTCTCTCAAAAATAAAAAAATAAGCATTAAAAAATAGATATATACAAGTGTCTGAAACAAAAGTAAAAAAATTATCCCCTTCCTTCCGTTGCCTCTCTCCAAAGGTAACCATGGTTACACATGGACGTAGTACCTTTCCTGTAGCAGGGGGCATCCCCCACTCCCTCCGCACCAGGAAGACCCCACTGTTCAGTTCAGGAGACACCTGCTTCTTCTCTCCCCATTCCCAAGAAAGTGTCCCTGAGAGTCCCCAGAAACAAAACAGCACAGCTTTCCACATTCCTTCTGGAGCTTCTTCCTCCCCACCACCCACACCCCTCCCAAGCCAAACAGAGCCAAACAAAACACCAAATGGCCTGGAGTGATTAGAAAAACTGTGAGCTCCAGAACCCAGGAACCTGAGAGGGGTTCCTGCTCGGCACCTACCTTGCTTGGCCTTGGCCCCTCTGAGCCTCAGCTTCTTCCTAAGTCAAAGGAGGATGATTTACCTACAAGTTTGGGGTGTGGCAAGGGTTAAGTGGGGGTGCTGTGGGCAAGGGCGAGTGTGACCAGGTGGTTCATTCAGTTTAGTTCTGCTTGATCCCTGATATCCTCCCCTCCACCCCCCCCACCCCTCACCGGCCGGACTGGGATTGCTTCCCCATTGCTTTTGTTTTGCGAGAGATGAAGAACAACACTTTTTTTCCTGTCTCTCTCTTTTTTTTAATTTTTTCAAATGTTTATTTACATTTTGAGAGAGACAGAGCATGAGTGGGGGAGGGGCAGAGAAGGAGACACAGAATCCAAAGCAGGCTCCAGGCTCCAAGCTGTCAGCACAGCTGTCGAAGCTCAAATCCATGAACTGAGAGATCATGACCTGAGCTGAAGTCGGACTCTTACCAGACTGAGCCCCCCAGGCGCCCCTCTTTTTGTCTCTTTTCTTTTTTAAATGTTAAATTATTCTTGGAGACTCTGACGTCACCTCCTGTCCTTTCCCTTCTCTGGGTTTAATCTTTCTTTCCTCACTTCGCCATCTTGCCAAACAGTGGTCTGTTTAAAGAGGCCCAAAGAAGTCTGGCAGAGACTGGAAGGAAAGGGGGGAACCAGCAGAGGGGCTCCATACCCCCTACACCACAAGAATCTGCTGTCTGTAGATGATGGAGCAAAGCCAAAGTTCGGGCAGCGGTTACATAACCGCCTGGCTGTTCAGCTGCTGGCCTGATAACCTACCTCCTCTAATATTTACTGTGCTTTTTTGGAGCTTGAACCAGCAGGAAGGAACATGGGCCGCACCCACCCTCCTTTGGGGTGGGGGTGCCCAGTGTCAGGCATATGGCCTCCTGGGATTAGCAGACCTGGGCTGGGGTCTCACCCTCCCTGGGACTGCCCAGGGCAGGAAGCTTGTGGCCCTCCTCATATGCCTTCATATCAATCTGGGAGTCAGCCAGCTCCAGTTGGACTCTGGTTGGCTAGGGAAGGGCAGATCAGAGAGAGGAGAGAATGCATAAGTTCCTGAGAAGCAACATTAGGGATGCCTGAGCCACAATGAGGCTGACTGGGGTGGCCCATCATGGAAGCAAAGACGCCATGGGCCGTGGACCCTTCTACGACCAGCCTGAGCCCTCTCCCTGGGCTGCTTCCACCTGTAGCCCTGATTTGAACGAATTTTCCCAACCACCTTGCAGGCTGTGGAGGAAGCAGTAGGTAGGGGCTAGGGGTGCCATTCAGGAGCCACAGAGAACACCAGGTCAGGGTTCAGAGCATGGAAGAACCTACAGTCTGTGACAGAATGGTGCTTTGCGGTTCTTGTCTAGAATAAGCAAAATCACAGTTTCTTTGGGGGTGATGACTCAAGAACCTTTTTTTTTAAATGTTTATTTATTTACTTTAAGAGCACATATGCAAAAGGGGGAGGGGCAGAGAGAGAGAGGGAGACAGAGGATCTGAGGTGGGCTCAGCACGGAGAGCAGAGGGCCCGACGCGGGGCTCAATCCCACGAACCACAAGATCGTGACCTGAGCCGAAGTCAGACGGTTAACCGACTGAGCCCCCCAGGTGCCCCAGAACTTTTGACAAGGGGGTGAGGATGGGCTTTCTTTCTCTTTCAGATCTTGGCTGTAAGGCTACTTCAAGCCCCAAAGCAGGAAAGTAGAGGAGGTATGAGATGGGGTCCGAGGAGGAGGAGGAGGAGGCCAGAGGCGCAGGCTGGAGGCAGGGTGAGGAGAGACAGCCAGCAGATGGGGAGGCCAGCCCAGGCGAAGAAGCAGCCCCCTGGGCCACCCCCTGGGGTACAGCTGCACCCACAGGGCTGACTGCGGCACATGCCTGGCTGATGGCGTGATGGTGAGGACCCAGATGTAGGAAAGAGTCAGGGGAGTTGAGTGATATTGAGGAGAAGGGGGTAAGGGCAGCCACAGAGCATCTCCCTCTGGGTGCTCCCTTACCCACGGGAACCAGGAGGACAGATGCCCATCATCTGTCATACTGCAGCCCAGCTTTGTTCTTCCTTTCACTCCAGTTTGGAAACACCATGGATCTTTCCGCCGGCAGTCTCGAGACCAAACTTCGTCCCTTTCACTATCCAATAAAAACTTCACCCCATAGCTTTCATCCAAGATGAAAGTGGCTTCTGTAGACGCCGAGTCAGCAGGTTCCTAGAAGAAGCACATGTTACCCCTGTCAGGCAGCCAGGTTTCAGGAAAGAGGGCCCCTTGACTTCACGATGAAAAACAAGTTCCCTTGCCCAGCCCTTCGAACACGGGCCTCTCTGGATTGGGGCAGCCCCAGAGAGAGTTAACAGATCAGGCCTCAACCTTGCCTTGGCTCTTCAGCAAGCACCTGTCATTTGCTTGACGGCTGTGTGGCATGTCCCTGGGACCCTGTACTAGCAGGCTAGGCAGCCCTGGTGGCATTGAATCCTCCAGCTGGGGGACTCCTTCCTTCCTGGATGAATGGAACCCTGAGAGTCTTCTGACTTGTCACAGGCCAGTTAGGGACAGTGACATCATGCTGGACTGCTCTGGGGCCCTGCTACCCACCTAGGGAGCTGTATGAGGTACCCAGCCCAGAGATGGGGGGGGGCACTACACTTCCACCTGCCGGGATTTATGAGAGTAATGAGCGTGATAATGAGTGCTGCCAATTTTCCTCCCACTTCAAAGTTCAACAGGAATACACAAGTCAGGAGAAAGTGAAACCTGGACATGGGTCCTAGTTAACCCTGGTTCCTGTCAGGGCGGCCATGGCAGGAGGACAGGGTGGGCAGTTTGGGGGTGGGTAGGACTGTGCCTTTTGGAGCCTGGACATCTGGAGTCAGAGGGCAATCTTAGGAGAGAGCTGACCCTGACTGTGAATAGGAGCAGATGGGCCCACGGCCCTGCGTGGAAACAGACCCAAGTACAGAGATGAGCACTGACACAGGAACATGTGCACTCATACGCCCGCGCAAACACACACACTCACGCACACAGGCACATATGCATAGGCCCACACAAGCAACACTCCGGCAGGCACAAACTCACTTAAGTACACACAGACATGCACAAGTCCAGACACACAGGAACACTCACACGAGCACGTATGCACACACAAAAACACACACACACACACATACACACGGGCACACAGGACTGTGCACATACACAGAGCCACAAAGTATTCCCAGGCACCCACAAGAGATACACAGGTACAGTGCATATCTGCAAATGCACAGGCTCCTAGCACACACGCACGCGCACACACAGATACACACACACCCTGCAACTCAAACAGCAGCCTCCCAGGCCATTTGAGAACGTCCTGGCCAGCTGCCCTTGTTGGTTCACCCTGGGCTGCAGCCGGGGCCTTCCCCCTGCCCCGCCCCGCCCCCCAATTGGTTGTATAAATTCCTTCCCTTTGCCCCTTCCCGGGCACAGCGGCACAGTGTGCCTCGGACACCAGCCCGACCTCTGTTTCTGCTCCCTCCTGACAGGCCAGTCAGGATCAAAGCATACCAGCAAGCAGCATGGGTAAGGAGGGGGCTTTCTGACAACCAAGTGCCACCCACCCTGCCACAGGAAGTGGCAGAAAAGCTAGGTCGGGAGAGCTGGGTGGGGGAGCAGGCGCTGGACTCTGCTCCACTGGCGCCACCCCACCCCCACCCCTGCATCTCCCAGCTCAGCCAAAGTTTCTAGAGGGTGCCAGAAGAGGAGGGTGGAGGGGCTGCGGAGATGGGTGGCCCTGGACCCCCACCTGGCTTCTCAGCTGCAGCCCAGGCGCCTTTCTGCAGCTGGGAATATCTGGCGGGGCGGGAATACACTGGGAGAACCTTTTGTCCCCGGCCTATCACCATAGGTGAATGACACTCCTGATTTCAGCCCTGGGCTAGCTTCTTACTCCAGGAAGTAGGGAGCCCAGGCCTTTGGGGACAGATGGCTCTCCAGCCACCTGGAACCTGATCACTCTGGGACGGAAAGCGGAGCCCACACTCGGTCGCTGGGCGCCTATTCCAGTGCCTCCCACCCCTCAACCCACCCCCTAGTCCCCAAGCCCTCCTGTTCCTCACTCTCAGGCTCCTAGAAGCTCCAGTGAGCTACCCTGTGTTCATCCTAAACCCACAGATGTTCAGAGATCTTGCTTAAGATGCTTAAGACAGGGCATTGTTTCCCAGAAAGAACACTGATGCTCCTGGGGGCCTGGTGGGTGCATGGGCCTGACTGATTCTAAGAACTGCTGGGAGGGGGTGGGGACAGGGACAGGAAGACAACACAGCCAGCAACACCTCCCTCACACCTTTATTTCTCTCTCCGTTCAGCTTTGCGGGTTTTGTGTCTCTGTCTTGAGGTCTTGGGAGTTTTGAATCTCCTTCTGTTCTGTGTTGGGCAACCTCCCTCCCCTCTCCCTCCCCTCCTGTGCCAAGCCCTGGCACAAGTCCCCTTAATTCCTTTGGACTGGACCTCTCACCCTGCCACACCCACCCAGCCCTCTCTATGAGCACCAACCACTGCCTGGGATTTCTGTCCCCAGCTTCTGGCACAGTCCTTCCCATATTTATACAACACTTCTCCTTTAAAGTACTTCTGAATACATTGGCTTATTTGACCTTCATGGGCACCTAGAAAAGAAGGTAAGATATTATTACCCGCTTTTAGCCAAAGCAGGGGAGAGAACAAGAGAGAACAGACATCAGACCTGGAGCTTGAAACCAGGTTTCCGCACTCAACAATGCTGTTGCTGCCACCTGGGCCTCCTAAGTCACTTGGCTGCCATGAGTAGGGGACCTGGCTTCTCGGCTGAGGCCCAGCTGAGGGCCTCCAGGTACCATGGAGGCTCAACTCTGGCTACTCCTGCCTCCCTACTGGTGGCCCCCCAGCTGTCAGGGCAGTGGCCAGACCGGCCATGGGCTGCAGCAAGGAGGCAATGCCCCATCCTGTGATCTCCACTCCGGGATTTCTTTCCTCCTACAGCTCCCTTTGTGCTAGTCCTCCTTCTCCTTCCTGGTCAGGCTCCAAACCCTGATGCCTGACACCTGGTCCTGGCAGCCCTCCTCAGAGACTGATGTTGGTCCGGTAGATCCATGTGGCTTCTCTTGCCAGACTTCAGGGACAAGGAGGGCCACACCCTATAGCTCTGGTAGGTGGGCCTCTGAGCCCTCCAGAGCAGGACCAAACACCTAACGTTACAGATGCAGGAAGTGGGTGACACCCGGGGGTAGAAACTGGTCTCTGCACATCCAGGTGGTAACAGCTCTGTGGCCCCAAACTTCAGCCTCCGATCCTTACCAGACCTTCGGAGAAGTAACCCAGGCTTTGGACAGCAGCCTGGGGTCAGGACGCAGAGGGGAGAAAGGCAGGAAGTGTCCCAGACCCTGGCAGAGACAGCTTTCTGGGAAGGGAGGTGAACAGGCACCACCCTCACTCGCTGAGGAACAGCCAGGCTTTGATGGGCTCCTGTCAGGCAAGCACGAGCTGCATACTTCACTCATGCACCTTCTTGTTTCCTTCTAATAAAAGCCAATCGTGGTACTCTTATTACTTTCTTTTTACAGATGGTGTGGATGTTGAGGCTGGGGAGGTTAAGTAACTTGTCCCAAAGCTCCCATGGCTTGGAGCAAGTCCCAGTGAGCAGCCGGGACTGGGATGCAAGTCAATGTCATAGCCATTGTACCGCACAGCCTCTCCTGCCCCTCTCCTGGGTCCTGCTTGAGTGTCTGTCCACCTTCAGGTCATACCTGTGAAGGCTCTTCCTGCCACATGCACACATGCATCAGGGCTCTGAGGGCCGGGGAGGATGGTGGTGGTGACAGGGCCAGAGTCAGGACAGGACCTGGGCCAGCACGTGGTGAGATATGTGTTGCCACAGGTAGGGAAGGAGCCTTGACCCTGCAGCGAGTGACAGAGCCAACCTGCCTCATTGTTTTCACAGCTACAAAGTGTGAGAAGTGTGGACCGGGCTACCCTACCCCTCTGGAGGCCATGAAAGGTAAGTGTGCAGCATCTGCCAGCCTGTGCCCCCAGAAGGGAATTGTGCAAAGCCATCACCCTCTACTGATCCCACTGCCGGTGAGGGCAGGAGACCTGAGGCCTCAGCCTCGGGCATGCCCAGCTCCGTGCCCGTCATTCCTCTCCACCCTGCCATCCCCACTAACTGCTTTCTACCCTTTAGGACCCAGGGAAGAGATTATCTACCTGCCCTGTATTTACCGAAACACAGGCATTGAGGCCCCGGATTATTTGGCCACCGTGGACGTTGACCCCAAGTCTCCCCACTATTGCCAGGTGAGGTGCAGCTTGGGCACTGGAGTACCCTGAGTCCCCTCTCTAGCCCTGGCCCCGGCAATGCCCTTCCCCAGCCGCATCCTTCTTCACCCTCCTTGGGTACGGTTGTACAATCTGTTCCCTGCACAAGGGCACCCCCAAGGTACAGGACAACGATGAACACCAGCCTGTGCTGTGCTGCCCAGCCCAAGTGGGTCCAGGGATCCCAGTGGCATGGTCTGGGTGAGCACCACCTCCTGCCCCCTCTCCCATCCTAGGTCATCCACCGGCTGCCCATGCCCAACCTGAAGGACGAACTGCATCACTCAGGATGGAACACCTGCAGCAGCTGCTTCGGGGACAGCACCAAGTCCCGCACCAAGCTGATGCTGCCCTGTCTCATGTCCTCCCGCATCTATGTGGTGGATGTGGGCTCCGAGCCCCGTGCCCCAAAGCTACACAAGGCATGTTGCCTGCCTTTGTTGCTCAAGGATCTAACGGACACGCCACTCTGGGCACCCTCCAGGCCACAGGCCACCCCCCAGCCAGCTGCCTTCAGCTCTTGCACAGTGTCAGGGCTCAGCAGCAGGGGGAGGGGGCGGGACTTCAGAGGAGGGTTACCAAGGCCTGCGGGTGGTCACCATATAGAATCATGGGGGTGGGCACCAGAGGGGTTGGGAGGAGCTTTTTGTTTTGACTCTGAGAGAGTGAAGGAGCCCTTTTTTCCCCCAGCCAATTATGAGCCCAGGACTTCCCTCAGGCAGGAGCCTCTAACCACCCCTCCCAACACGTGGTTGAGTGCCATCTTTGTGCCTTGATGCTGGCGATGGCCCAGCAGGGGAGGAGCTTCTGGTCTCACGGACTCATGGTGCCTTCAAGACAGACAATGGGAGAGAAGTCAGTGCTTTCTGCCTGCGGAGTTAGTCTCTCAGACTCTCCCTTGCTGCTCTGCAGAAGCTACCAGACTGAATCTCTGCCATATTCCCCCTGGGAAAATTGTGTTCATGTCTTAAAGGAAAAAATATGATGGTGTCAGCAGATAGGAATGGGGGGATGGGGGAGTCACAGGTGGGTCCCCCCAGCCCTATAACATTCCGATGCCATTCCTTACCCATATCCAGGTCATTGAGGCTGAAGACATCCATGCCAAGTGTGACCTGGGCTACGTCCATACCAGCCACTGCCTGGCTAGCGGGGAGGTGATGGTCAGCTCCCTGGGAGACCCCAAGGGCAATGGCAAAGGTACCTGTTGGCACTGTAGGCACATCTGTGGGGAGAACAGCTCCCAAGCTGAGACAGAGGGATAGAATGACCTTCCAGGGAGAACCAGAGGGCTGGGTCTTATCCAAAATTTAAACTATAGTCAAGGAACTTCAGTCGTTTCAATGATTTCTATAAAGATGAAACTTGAATGACAAATTCACTTAGAAATTACAGTCAGAACAGTGCACTATGTTCTGGGGGACTATGACATGACCCCGGAAAACACAGACATTTAATATCAGCCTTTACGAATTCATGGGCAAGTCTCACAGTCCGTGGGGTCCTTAACCTTCACATCGGCACTCTCATTTATGGTGCTGTCTTAGCTAATACTTACACAATGTCTCCCGTGCGCCAGGTACAACCTATGAGGTAGGTGTACCTAGCATCTCTGTTTTCCAGATGAGAAAGCCGGGGCACAGGCTGGGTAAATAACTTAGCCAAAGTCATACAGCTAATAAGCTGTAGAGGCAGAACTCAAACCCAGCAGTGTGGTTCCAGAATCTATGACCTAATCACCACACTGAGCTGTTTCTCTCTGAACCTTACCTATTCCATCTGAGGGCTTGGAGTGGGACACCAATTCCTTCTCAGAGGTAGGAGGAATGTGACCCTCCTAGGTTTAATACCACTGAGGAGTTGACATCTAGTTGTATTTGCAAAGGACTATCAAGGCGTCATAACACACTAAGCAAGGGAGGAGGACATGTTAGGCATTCACAGTGAATAACGAGTATATGCAATTTGTCTGCTCTAAAAAAAATACAACTTAGTGAGCAGAATGGAGCCTAGCCTCTGGAAGGGAGTCCACACTGAGAGAGAGGCTGGGCAAGAGAGCCACAGCCTTCTGAGTCCCAGACTCTCGGCTCAAGGGGACAGAAATGTCCCCTGTGGTCTAGGACCGGGATTAAGTTGACGGGAGGTAGGGGCACCAGAATGAGTCCCCACCTCCCACCTGGTCCCCTGGATGGAACCCTTTGGGCACCTGAATTGAAGGAGCTAGCAAATCCAGGGGGAGGAAGGGGCACCATGAAATGGACTTGCAGCCCCTTGGACGTGCCTGGGGGCAAGGGTTGGATAAGGCTGGCATCTCCACTGTCGCTACCTGCCACTTTACTTCCTTCACTGTTCAGGGGGTTTCGTGCTGCTGGATGGAGAGACATTCGAGGTGAAGGGAACATGGGAACGGCCTGGGGGCGCTGCACCCATGGGCTATGACTTCTGGTACCAGCCTCGACACAATGTCATGATCAGCAGTGAATGGGCGGCTCCCAATGTCTTTCGAGATGGCTTCAACCCCGCTGATGTAGAGGCAGGTGAGACTTGTTCCCCATAGGCCAGTAGGAGCCTGGGCACACACACCCCTACTTTCTGCTTGAAAACCCCTCTTCAGGTCTCCTACTTCTCTCCTGTGAACCCGACTCTTGGGGTAATTGATGGTATAGGACTCGCTGAGTACTCCGGCTTGCTCAAGCATCCTTCTTATCCCTCCAACCGGTTTTTCAACCTATGCCCTGGGTTGTGCCCCAGCCTTCACTCATGCTGCCCTGCCCTGATCCTGAGCCCATCCTCTGGCCCCATCCCTTCCCCCAGGGCTGTATGGAAGCCATTTACACGTGTGGGACTGGCAGCGCCATGAGATCGTGCAGACCCTGCCCCTGCAGGACGGGCTCATCCCCCTGGAGGTCCGCTTCCTGCACAACCCAGACGCGGCCCAGGGCTTCGTGGGCTGTGCCCTCAGCTCCACCATCCAGCGCTTCTACAAGAATCAGGTGCCTCTGTGTCCTCTGGCCCTCTCCTCCCAGCCGTCCATAGCCATGAGGCACCCCTCTCTCTAGGGCTGACCCAAGCCCCTCTGCCTGGCTCTGCTAGCCCTATTTCTCCAGGAACAAAAACCAAGGCCACTTGTCCCATCTCTCTTCTCCCCTGAATCCTAAATTCCTACTCATTCATTCAAAAAACGTCTGTGGGTTTCTATGTTAGGCACTGTGCTAAGTGCTAGGAATGTAGTGGTGAAGGAGACATCATCCCTACCTTAAGGGTCTTGCACAGGAGTTAGACCCAAGTGGCAAGAGGGCCCTCCATCTGCTGTCTC